TTTCCTGAATTCCCACCAACACAACCTAGGCGTAAGCAGCCACTTATTTCTCCCCCACTTGGACTTAACGATGCTCTCTCACCTCTTAAACCTTATAGATCTTCGATCCACTTCCCTTAATGAGCAAAAACCACCCAAATCCTGAGCTAAACAATACAAGTACCCCATTTCTAGCCAAAGACAATTATCACTCAGCTCTTGGAAATCCTGAAGAATACTCTTATAATCTTAACCAATCGGATAATACCAATCATTTCCCATGATACCCTTTACTGAAGAAATCCGAGAGCAATTATAGATTTGCCACCATCTTACCGCTGACTAGGGACTGGTGAATACTAGGTACCCGCACTCATACAACACTCTCACCCTAACTGATCGCTAGTCAGTGCTACGGCTCCCCCGCAGTCTTATAACACTCTCACGCCCAACTGATCACTAGTGAATGCTATGGCTCCCCCATAGTCTTACAACACTTTCATCCCAACGGATCACTAAAGAATGCTACGGCTCCCGTACAGTCTTACAACACTTTCACCCCACCATAACTGCCCAAGACCTTACCACCGATCAATCCGATCCGACATACCCAAAGTCGAGCACACACTCGATCGAACACCTAAAGTGAACTCAATTCATTACTGGAACCCCAACCTGATTCCCCAAATCCTACTATCAAGCACCAAGAGGATGAAATTCACATGTTGGGACGTTTATCGAACTCCCAACTCACACAACCCTCAAACCAAACAGCCACTTGGGCTGCCTTCCTCCCCGATATGGATGTGAAACTCATCCTATTTTCATAACCACTCCCGCTCCTGAATACATGAACGATTCTCCCCTACTTTTTTTTTTATTAAGTTCTCATAACATATAGGATTTGAAGGATCCCCAATCCTTCTTACCCTCTAACGACCTGCTAACAACCAGTGCTTACCAATGTTGTGTTCCATCACTAACCATCCTAAAAGACTACATATTCCCTGAAGATATGTTGAACACTTCCCGAATCCCAACAGCAATGGACCACTTCCTTAGTCGTTTCTAATAGCCAATCAGCACGACTGTAAATACATCAGAACCCTAACGATATTAAAGAATTAACCCGCTTAATTCTGACCATAAACCCTCCACACATTACCCCTTAACTAATCTCGACTACCACCCAAAATACGACTGAACACTTAGATCCTGTTGTACGAGAGATGACCCTAACCCACTAATGATTTACGGCATGAAAAAGACATATAGAAATTCTTAGAGATATAATCCACAACAACGGGTAATTAGACCCAATATATCGTTGACCCCAACCAATAAAACACTCTAAGAAACATAAATACTTATAGCAACCGAAGGAAAAAAAAAAGACAGCATGCGCGTAATATTACATGCTGATATGATTAAACCTGCTATGCTTATGGCAAACCATGATCCTGAAACGAAAAACTCTATCATGCAGGTTACCGCACATACCGTACTGACTCTGGTCCTGATGGCCTCTCAATGTTGATCAGAAACCTTGGGTCTCTCTCTGATAGGTAGGAAACACACCTGAGATTACAGGAGTCTTCTTCAAAACAACACAACTAATCTCTTGACGAAATAAATTCATGTATATGCTCACTAATCGACTCAGTACCCTTACTTGAGTTAGGATCAGAACTTAAACCTCCTTCCTGAAAGCTCATCACTAAACCGAAATACAATCATGCAGAAGATCATAACATACTCAAGAATCCTCTTCCCAAGCATCTTAGATTCTCCAAGATGCTCCCCGATTCGAGTATAGATCCTGTGCTTTCAGTAGTACAGGCCCAATACTACCTTCCACACCTATCCATACTTTCCTCAAGGATCATCCCGAATCCTCTAAGTCACCTACTCCACTGATGCACTAAATATTTGCAAAACAGCATCACAAAACCCGTTGAAGCATTTCCTATGCTCCCCCTAGGTTGCTGACCTCACCCTACCATCAAATGCTAAGGAACTCCTCATAATACCAGTCATCAACCTCATGAACAGCGTCATATTCACTTAGTAGCTAACTCCTATCATCAAAGAGTTCCATAAAGCACAAAGCAAGCAGCATTCATGAAATAACACTCCAATCCAGAGAACTATCATAGAACATTAACCCCACACACTACCACTTGATGCAAGAAATTCCACCCCTATTGCTGGTTGCCTTATGCATGAAAATTATACATAGAACATGATCAAATAGATTGTCGGATAACAGAATCTACCCTAGGATCACAACCAGACAAGGAACAGGAAATAAGGGCAAATCAATTATTCTAAGGCTATAAGATCCTAACCATATACAATTTTTAAAGCATACACTTAGAAATTACTAATTCCTTTAGATATTCCCATCTCAACATAACATCCAATACCAAACGCAACAAGGCATCACATATCGGCCAATCTATCCCGAACTAATCAGCTCTAGCATGCAAGTCTACCAGATCATATAATAGACATACAAAGGCATCTCCCCTAACATTTTATCATGCAAAAACTGAGCGGATCCTTAGCCCTAACTAGCATGTGATTCACAAAATTCATAATCAAGTCATATCAAATAGCACATATGGATTTTGGAAAAACTTACTTGAGCTCGGCCAATTGCATGCACCACACCTTTTCTTGTCTTAGAAAACTCTTTTCTTAAAATACTTTTCCTTTTAAAAACTTTACCAAATCCACGGTTTGATTTTAGACACACCCTAGAGTTTTTCCGAATCCCTCAAACCAGGGCTCTGATACCAACTTATAACGCCCCAAAAATCATGACATAATTTTTTTTAGATTAATAAACCGTTAATACATTTCTTTCTCATGAAACCAAGTAACCAAGTGTTAGAAAAAACATCATCGAATCAGAGTAATTCAATGAATTCGGATACATGTGGTGTGTGCTCAACAATCATCCCTGCTCTTTCATTTGAAAAATGGAGTACCTGAAACATTAACTGAAAATCATAAGCACAAAGCTTAATGAGTTCCACAAATTACCATATAACATACAACCCTAGAATAGCATAAAACATACATGTAATTGCCATGGGCTCCCCCGCGTGGTCTTTATCCGGAATGCCATGCCCCCCATGGTCTTTTCCTAGATTGCCATGGGCAACCCCCCCCCCCCCCCAAGGTCTGATATCCAACTGACTCGGGCACCCCCGAGGTCTCCCACGCAAGTATCACAGAGACAATTGGATATAGTGAGGAGACTCACCTTGCACTGCAAAAGCTCACTGAAAGAATCCCTAGTTGTTGTCCTGATGGCTTCCCACTAGCAATATCAATAATACACCCAATTAACAATTGGGATCCACTCCTAATCACAACTCCATACCTAGGGTAAAATGATCATTTTACCCCCAACCTAGCCTTATCCAAGCCCATGACCCAAACTACAATCTGAAAGGCACAAAGGCCCGTTAATCAACCAATGGCCTAGTTTTCCAAATTGGGCTCAAACTCCTTACACGGCTCTGCCTTAAGGCCCAACCACTCTTTCTAGTCTAAACACTTCATATCCCGATGGCCCATTAACAACTCAAGCTAAAAATACCAGAAACTACTAGATCTATCAAATCCTACTAATGGCCTAATTTTCCAAATTGGGCCCAACCCCATATGAGCCTTGACTTAAGCCCATAATTCCCTTAATTCAATTCAGATTACCACAAGTACCCCTTGGGACAAGCTTGTTCAAATACATAAGTCAAAGGTCAAATTCAACAATCCAAGTTGACCCAACTTGCCGAGTTTTTCCATTAAAGGCACGGATCGAGAAAACTCCCATCAACTCGCCGAGTTCTCCTAATGAACTCATCGAGTTGGCTAGGAATCAATCAGCTTAATGCATTAAGCCGTTTACATCGAATCTAGAAGCTTCCATTCTCAGATCGCTTCCCAAATGATGACTAGAAGGGTAAAGTTTCCAACTTTACCCTTAAAAACCACTACAATGAACCCAAGCCCAAATCCTTGACTTAATAGAGTGAGACTTAACCTATAAAGCCCTTGAACTCTCTAAACATACTGCCAAAACACAGATCTGGCATCCCAAGGCTGGATTATCACTTAAAGTTTCCAACTGTACGTCCATGCATGCAAAAAAGGAACCGTAGAGCCCAAAATGGCTTAATAAAGTACTTAATTCATGGGTGGGACTTACGACTTAGCAAATCTTGCAACTTTATGCCAAGACATGTCATAAAACAGTCAGATCTAACATGATAACCCCCAAAAACCTTAACAGTTGGACAACTGAACTATACACCCAAAAAAATCAACCTAAAACATCCTACAAAGAGATCTAGAAGATAACAACACAAGGTTTCGACTTTATACCTCAAAAGGATTGCAACAAATGGAGAGTTTCTAGATCCAAAGCCTTCCTTCCAAACTAAGCACCTTCATTGTTCAAACTCCTTCCAAAGAACACCAAAAACCAACTCTCCAAGCTCATCACAAGCTCATATGCTCAGCCTTGAAGGATAATACAAGAAATCAGGGTTTTCTGGACAAGAAGGCTGGTAAGGAGGCCAACTAAGGGGTCGTTTGATAGTTTCTAACTGAGTTAGAGCTGACTAGGTTAGAAGCTGACTGAGTTAGAAATTATGACTGAGTTAACTTTTGATAAAAACTTGCTGTTTTATTTTGCATCTGACTGACTGTGTTAAATGACTATATTACCCTCAACCTATCATAAGATTTTTATTACTAAGTTAACAATATATTTTGTTATGTTTTGTGCCTCATAACATGTTTCAGTTGATAAAATATCCAATTAAAGTTGCTAAATAAATTAATAATTATCAAAAAAAAATATACGAAATAGTATATAAAATACAAATTAACTAAAAACCATTTCAAGCCGTATTCCTTATAACCATAACTTGGTTTTCCTGGAGCAAAGTAGCATTATAATACAACATTTTACAATTTTCATACACACATATTCCATATTGAAAAAATTACAAAATTGTTCTTTTTCCTTCTTCCCATGCTCTTATCATCTCATCATCACTAGCAACCACACATACCCCTAAACTGCAAGTTGTGGACCAATTTTTTTTCCCTTTCTTCTTCATAAAGTGAATTACCATAATCATCGTCATCAACCCCATTATGCTTTGAGGTGATTCCATTTTGCACCTGCTCAAAGATTGCCATTCTACCTTATTTTCTGTTTGGAGTATCAACATCAACCATAATCAACTTTGATTATATACATGAAACTATTAAAAATTTACATGGATTTAGGATTTAATTCATACAAAATAGCCTTTGAAGCATTTTTCTCAAACATCCCTCTTTATGCATCTTTTGATGACCCAACTACTAAAGCTATAGAAAACTTGCTGGAAAATTATAGATTGAATCATAGATTTAGTTACAAATTTTAGTAATCTCATGTTCATAAATGTAAGGTATACTAATATTAGTAATTTCATGTTCATAAATCCTATACTGTCACAAGACATGGGAATCATGGGTCATAGAAAGAAATTTACTTCGTACAACAAGTGAAGCAGAATTTCAACCACTCTATTTGTCAATTTGTTGTAGAATATATACTATTGTTCTTTTTTAAATTCTATTCAAAACACATAAAATGAAAAACTATGGTGATCGTTTGCATTCTCACAAAACATTAGATCATCTGCAACAAAATGACAAGTAATACAATTGCATTTTCACGGAACCATTTATTCAGAAAAAAAAGGATTAAAGAGAAGTAATAAGAAGGAGGACAAATTAAACCTGAAATTGGATGCAATTCAATGCAGGAGAATATTGAAATCGCACCTTGTCGATCATATGGAGTCAGCATTCCCGCAATTGAAAAGAAATCGATTTTGTGTGAAAAAATAGCAATCACATTGAAATTGATAGAATCTGAAGAAATCAACAAGCAGTATATTGAAATTGAAAATAAATTGACCCAGTTAAGATGGGTTAACCTCATTGTCATTCCAAATTAACATACCCATAATGCCAAATCGTGTTCCACAACCCAAATCGGTACAAATTGAAAAAAAAAATGAAAAGAAAAACGAAATACCTAACTGGTGATGGAAGAGGAAGATGATGAACGAAGGGGATGTAAGTAGGTACTGTGATGTTTTAGGGAGTTGGAAGTTCGACAATGAAGGAGGTGGTTGGCGGTGAAGAGGATGGCAGCGACATAGGTTTCCAGCGAGGCTGAAGAGGATAGACAGAAGCATTGGAGAGGATGAGTGATGTCCGTTCAAGGAGAAGGAGATGGGCTGGGAGAGGACCGATTTGGTGGAAGGAAAAGCAGCTTCGATCGAGTGAAGAAGATGGAGAGCTAGCGTCGAGGCAAGGGCAAAATGCGTCCATTTTCCAGTCAGCTTCTTTTTTTTAGCGGACCGAATTAGAGCACGATGGACTGACTGAGGACCGAGTAAGCTGCAAAACAGATGTTACCAAACACATTGACCGGATCAGGTCAGTCAAAATGTCTGTCTGGACTGGGGCAACAAGAAATCAAACAGCCCCTAAGGGAGTTAAGGTCTTTAAATAGGGTACAAAACCCTAAAATTAGGGTTTTCTTAAAAAGCGTCCAACTCTCTGAGTTCCCTACACCAACTTGACGAGTTAGTCCTTAAAAACACGCGCCCCAAAATCTTTCAACACCTCGAGTTTATACCATAAAGTCGATGAGTTGGCCCCTAAAAAGGGAATTTATTTCCATAATTGACCTTATGGATTACGAATGTTACAATATATATATATATATATATATATATATATATATATATATATATATATATATATATATATATATATATATATATATATAATCTAAAGAGCGAGAGTGAGAGTAACAACTCACCTAATCATTTAGTGAAGACTAACTGTCCCGTTTTCCTCTATTCTTCCATTGATGCATCTTGGATCCATCTTCTTGGTCTTAGACTTATCCATACATACATACATACATACATACATACATACATACATACATACATACACACACACATACATACATACATACATATATACATACATACATACATATATAGATAGATACATACATACATACATACATACATACATACATACCTACATACATACATACATACATACATACATACATACATACATATATATATACATATATGCATACATACATACATACATACATACATACATACATACATACGTACATACATACATACATACGTACATACATACATACATACATACATACATACATACATACATACATACATACAAGCATGTTAATGATTATCTTGTCCTATTAAGAGATTAATGAATCTTAAGGTCAAAACGACCACGTAATGGATCTTTACTCTATCTTCTCTTTCTTAATCTCATCCAATTAGTGAAATAATTATCCTATTTTACCTTATTCATTACAATCTAACATCTAATGCATTAATTATCATAATTACTAGTTAGGTGTTCAAACCCTAGCTTCACATACATAGATTCCACCATTGAAATCACTTTCTAAGCTTAATTAAAGAATCTAAACACATCCATAATCATCATAATCAAGCTATGGGTTTATTAATTCAACCAATCTACTTTAATCAAAAATTTCATCAAAAATGAAGAAATCTTACTTTAACAAAGAGGAATGAAAATCATTATCAAGCTCCATCTCTAGCTTCTCTTGCTTTCATTCCGACTCCAAAATCACCAGCATTTATCTCTTAATCGATTTTGGGTGTTTTGGTTTGAAAACGAGGCTTTATCAAGTTAGAACCCATCTTAGATTCTCGAAATCACACCACAATTCCTTACTTACCACACCGTGGCCACGTATTTGCTTTCCATCTTTTGTCATTCAACTTTCCTTGTCATGGTGTTCTTTATCCAATATCCACTAGCAACCCACTTTGGCCACCGCTTTGTGGTGCACATATATAGCGTCGCAGGGAAAAGTATGAATCGATTTATGTCTTACGAAGAAGACTACATCTGAACTCTTTCATCACTTGTCGTGCCATTCATATCTACTTTCCACGTCATGGTTTCGGCTTGACAGCAGCCCCTTGAAATAGTTCCATTCTAGCCTTGGGAAATTTTTGTCCCACCTTCTAATTTTCTTATCTTCTTCTTTTCTTACTCGTTTTCTATTATATTTATATCCCCGCGAAGGTCCGAGCATACTATACACATTTTCTAAGTCATATCTCAATGATTTAATATGAGTCTTAATCTATTAAGCCATAAAGTTGGCCTAAAAGCCATAAAATGCCCATTTTACCCTTTTGAGCAATAATGCATCTTCTCATGCATTCTTTCTCTTCAACTTACTCATCTAACATCTTCTAAGAAACTTAAAATATTTTTTCCTATTTTCATGAAGTAAAAACTTCATATTCTCATCTCTCTCTCTCATAATTGACCATTTTACCCTTTTGGTCAATATTTGACTAAAAGTTAACTTTCTCAAAATTTCAGGCTCTTACAAATACCGATGATTTGTGTTTTAAAATGTGTTGCTAGATTTCTATTGTGAATCATATTATTAAAAATTAAAATATTTCATTTTGTCCTTTGAAGAGTCTGTTGGCTTAAAAATCCACATCCATCGAATACTAACACGGCATCTGACAATGGTAAAGTTTAATCCATTGAATGACAATTGGACATGCGATCTCACTCAACTCTCTCACTGAATTGTGAATTTTGGATGATATGATGACTAAAAGTCTCTATTTATAGGCCTTTAAGAATAGACCTAAAAGAACTAAGACAACTCCTATATTCCTAATAAAAGGGAATCTTTCTTATGAAATAGCAAAACTTGGTAACCAAGCAACCAATTTACCATACAAAGGGAATTCGACTCACACACCATGCAACAAACTTCATCTTGAGATGAATTCCATCCTAAAAGATAAAAACTCCAAACTTTTATGAGTAATGAAAATACTAGTACCAAAAGCCACTAGGGACTAAACTTAATACCAACCAAACTCTGGGCTCAAGCTAAGATATTGAAACTCAATTTTTTGTCATATCATCATATTGTAATTAGTTTTACTTTTTCATAACTTGATATTACCCTGAGAAATAATATCACTAATATAGTGTTTAATACCAATGTGTTTTGTTTTCTCATGGAACATGGAATCCTTTTTAAGTCATATAGCACTATCATTGAAAATGGTGGTATAAAATGAATCTCTACAAACCTCTATGTACAATACTCTTAACCATGTATATTATTTCTGCGATTGGAAAATACCCACATACTCTACTTTAGTTATTAAGCAATCCATGGTAGATTGCAAGCTAGCTTTCCAACTTACAACAAAATTTCCAATGGTAAAGACATAACTTGTAAGGGATCTTCTTTTATCTAAATTCTATGCATAGTAAAAATCAACATATTATATAACCCTTATGTCAATTTTCCTAAATCTAGTAAAATGGTAAAAGTACCATGAAGGTATCTGAAAAGTTACTTTACTAAACTACATGCTAGTGTTCTTTTCCTATGTTTTCCATAAATCAAATTACCACACTTAAGGAATTAGATAACTCGGAACATGATACATATCATACATAAGTGAAACCCTGAAATTCCAAGTTAGTGGGGTACTACCTGGTTTAGCATTCAATATACGAAATGGTGTAAGACTTTTTTGATGTAGCTTCTTTAACTCATGTATAACTCACCAGTAGGTTTATCTTTAGAAATCTTGATGCCAAGAATATTATTAGCATCATATAATCCTTGCATCTTAAACTCATTATTCAGATGGGCTTTGATGGTAGCATTATAAGGTCACTATGAGTATGAGTCAACCTTTTCGACAAATCGGGGATTTAAGAGGAATTAGTCAGATCTTCTGGTTTCCAGGAGGGTGGTAAGGGGTGATTTCAAGGATGAAATTTAATTTAGGTGGGGGAGAGTTGTAACACCTTGTTTCGAATCGTTTCATAATTCGAAGCCATGACCCGAAGATCAATTATCAGAAGACTTCGGGCCTTGAGGAAAGAGAGCTTTAGACCCCTATGGATGTGGATAATGTAGATTAGGTAATCTAAGGGTCCGGTTGGTGCTTTGGAGCCCAAGGGTATAATAGTAAAGTGGTGGTGTGGGCCTTTTATAAATTTTGGATTTAAGTTTGGAAAGTTTTAAGGATAAGGATAGTTGATAGGATGTAGATCTTCTCATTACCTTTCCATGGATATAAGGATCGTCTGATTCGGAGTTAGAACGAAAAATTTATGGCCATCGGAAGATAGAGTTGTAACGGGCTTGTTGAGTACGCTAGGCGTACAAGGGATGTACATTAGGTGTATTTGGCTGGAGTAATCACGAAGGCTCCTTCGCATACATTGGGCGTACGTGAATCGGTCTTAAACCCTATTTAAAGGCCTTAACTCATTCTTAAACCCTCTTATCTTCAACCTCCATATCATTTAGCCCTAAGTTCAAAACCTAAGCCTCTCTTATGTGAATTTCAAGCCTTGGTGTGTTTTTTTTGTGTACGTTGGAGAAGAAGAGATATTATAAGAAGCATTGTCTGGCTTGGAGGTTATGGATCCAAGCTCTAATCATCTTCATCAACTTCCAGGAGGTATAAAGTTTCTAACTTGATGACTCTATGTGTTAGATCTAGTATAGGATTGTTTTGGGTTGATTATGGTCCTTAGAGTCATTCTTCTGAGTATGAGCTACTCCAGGAGCTTAGAATGTTATATCTTAGCATTTTTCAGGTTGTGAGTGCATAAAAATGTTATCTTGATCGATCTTGATGAATCATGCTAAAGTTGGTGTTCATAATATGGGTTTAGATGGATAAAATAGGTTTTGGGTCCCATTAAGACATTTAAAGGAGTAAAGTGATGGGTTTTGGTCAGAAGACATCCTATGTGCTCATACAAACCCTAATGCTTGGATCTAGGTTTCTCTATTGTACATGCTTTGAATCCAAGACTATAAACCCTAATTCTAGTATATGGAAATCGATATTAACATATAATAAGGTTTAAGAACATACATTGATTGTTATATAGCAATAACAATCCTAATTCCACCTTGAATTGACTTTGGAATGCTTACAGTCACAAGTGTCACTCCTCTAATGGCTTACAAACACCAAGAGCAAATGGAGAAGGTATAAAGAGAGAGGAGAGAGGTTAGAATTCGTCCTTAGGACTTCTTGGGAACAAGTACACGAATTCTAAGGCCTTAGGGTCTTTATATAGGTGTAGAGATATGGTTTCAGTCATTATCCTTATCTAGTTGCTTATCCACAAAGCAACCATAAGATAAGCCTTGAAAACCCTTATCCTTTATCCTTTGGACGATTTCAAGGATCCTTATCTCCTTGAATTCGTTCAACCCATATTTAGGATAACCATTACCACATTTTGTAACTATCACATAATTACAATTCAGCCCCTCTAGTTTAATTAATTACACTTGATCACAAAATTAATTCCTAATTAATTATTGACCAATATTAATTAAGCAAATATGATTTCTCCTTTAATATATTATTCTTATAACATATTAATAAATCATAATAACCTCTCTCTCTTTATTTATTTCTCCAATCAAGTTGCTTTGGTGAAGGCAACCCAAAAGGACCATGCACCATCGGGTCAAGTACATACCAAAATAGTGATGGACTTAGACACTAATCCAACAGTCTCCCACTTGGATAAGTCTAACAACTATTATGCGTATGACTTCGGATCTTGATCTGCAATCGTAGCTTTCCAAATCCGTTGTCAACTCTGATCATATCAGATACGCATGTCCTTAGATAAGAGATCATATATTCCTCCATTCTAGATATCGTATGAGACATGATTTCAAATCATTCTCTTTGTACTACTTCTCGATTTCCGATTTATGACGACAGACTAATTGAACAAATCAAATTAGCCCCAGCCCGGCCGAGCATTTACGTTTGTCATCACTAAACCATCGAGGGGCCCAAAGATATCACTTTTATCCTTCTTTGGATAAAAGGAACGGATAAACTTTGATACAATGCTTGCTTGCACTCACTAACCAAATCATACACAACAATATGTTTTATAACACCAAGTTACTAGTGCGTTTTCATATTATCAATGTGCAACCGATTAGCAAGATACAATTCACACATCTCGGTTTCAAGAATATAAGATGTTATCGTCTCACCAATCACTTGTGATACAATTCATGGAGTGATCCAAGTGAGCGTGGGTTTAATCCAATGCTCAAATTCATATTCATAAGCACTCATGAATGTTGCAGCAAACATTTGCTTATGTCTAATACTCTTTTAGACAATCCACACACCAATTCACGACAGTCTTCATTCATATCTACTTCCAACATATGAACGACTGTGGCCCGTTTGAATAATTCGATTATTCTTAATAAACTCAATTATTCTGGAAGTCAAAACATGCAAAGTGAAACACAAGAAAAATACTAATCCCATATGGCCTCAACCCTTTGAGCATAAATAAAACACGTTTTATTTATCACCATATCGATTACTCATTATTTTTCGTTTCGGGTAATCAACTTCTTACTTGAATTATTACACTTGTCCCATGCTCCTAGCATGCACACAATGTTTACCTATGGTTCTTACTTTTGTGAAATAGATAAATTGAACACATTTCCAATCATTCTCATTTTACAACTCCAAATCCATTTTCTTAAGTGTAAGAATATCAAATTCTTGTTACTTATAGAATATACTAGATTCTAACACTTTATGCAACGATCCTTTTGTAATGTTACTGCACCAAAGTCTCAAAGACTATTGCCAATGATATTACAAAGTCCTCTAACATAGATTGTTACAAGA